GGACAAAAATGTCCTCAAAGTTGCGAGGACAAAAATCATGTCCTCATATAGTTGCGAGGACAAAAATCATGTCCTCATAGTTGTGAGGACAAAATTATTTCGAGGACAAAAATGTCCTCAAAATATTGAGGGCAAAAATGTCCGCGTTGATAAGGTCATATGATCACTGCTTAATATTGGCCAATAAAAACCGTGGTTTCCATAGAGGATATAACCTATGCATTTGAGACACGATGGATAAGGTTATATCCTTTGCCGATCAGGCTAATGGGGTGCGTATAAATAAAACTTGGCCGTTTTGGCATTAGTATATGGTGATCATTTCACTAGATCGTTGCTGATCAATTTTATACTTAGACTAATGGAGTAATAATTAGCCATCAGTCTCCGTAAAGAAATGATGTACATTATTATGTATTAATAATCCACCGCTTACTAATTAATTTAATAATTCATAATGTATCACGATCAACAAAAAAGATATACTTTCGTTACACATAATTCGCTTCATGCCAATTATTTTTCTCTTCGAGCATTCTCCTATTGTTATAAAATGGCTCTCGTCTAAAAATAAGATATTAATGATGTCAAACGATTGCGAATAGATATTTCATGTTTTTTGCTTATTTTCTCGTTAAGAGTAAACGGGTAATGAAGATGCTGCACAAAAAATAAAGACCAATCTACTTATGAAATCACAAATGGTAGCAGAAATACTGGGCTATGCCCACGAAGTGATTTCGCCCGATGAAACTTTACTAATCACAGGCGGATACGAATCACGTGATCATGGTAGAGAATTTGTTACTCATGTCACATCTCGCTTTCCACTTTTCTTTTTTAATTTTTTTCGGTGGTGAAATCATATTTGTCACGCTATTATTTGGCACAATCGCAATTTCTTGATACCGTAATGCCGACCAAAATACACATTTTCCTCCGCTTCAGACGATCCCTAATTATAGTAAGAACTGTTTGATTATTCTAGCTCAGCCAAAAATGATCAGAGTTGTACAAAATCCCAGCCCTGCATGCAACATTACCAATTCTTTTGATGAACTGTAACACCATAATCACATCATGTATTTATAGAAGTTTTTGCGGCCTCTTTCATATTTTCTACTTCGTACTCTCTGGATAGTTTCGCACGAGATGGCTACCATCCATATAACTTGCTTGGACGTAGACGATTATTCTCATGAAGACGTACTTGAACTTGATATTAGAGAAACAGAGACTATTGGTAATCTCAGAGAAATAATCAAGAGCAGCAAACTTAGTTTTGATAATGCTAAAAGCTTCGAAGTTTTGAAAGTTAATTCCTCTTACAATGAGATTAATGAAAAACTGGCATTTCTTGAAGATAATTCTTCCGTTAACATCAAGAAGGTATTGGGAGGAGAGGAGTTGAACGCAACAGATAAAATTTCTGAAGTTTTCGAAACGGAAAAAAATTGTATTGTCCTTATCGAACCACGTACCCTCGCTTTACTTTCAAACGATGTATTGATGAAAGAAATCTCGTTCTTGGTGATAAACTTGGCTACAAAGATAATAATAATTCTATCGAGGGTGAAATTGTCATATCATCTAATAGACTCCAGATTCGTTGTATTAAGGATGATCAAGAACATATTGTAGGCTCCTTCTCTAAGTTTATCAAGTTAGCAATAACACCGTCTGTCATAGGAAGCAATAATTGGAAAAACTTATGGATTGAATTGCGTGGATCGGAAGAAAAATTGAATTGGATTAATTTCCGTCGTCGCATGCTCTTTGATCAGTATAACAGAAATTTCGAAGGTAATGTACTCGTTGTTAGTTTTTTTTATAGACAAAATTGTTAGCATATTTTCTAAATTAGTTAGTTGGATCTTATGAAGATTTGACAGCACGAATTAGCATCCTCAATATTAAATCCGATACACTTCACGATTCTGTCGTCTCACCTTGTCGAACGAAAGATACAAATAAAGTTAACACGAAAGGTGGGTCATTTTTGTTATTGATAAAAAATCATTAGCATTCAAAATTTAATTAAACACATTAAACACATTTATTAAACAACATTCAATTGATCAGGTAACACGCTTATCACACATCCAGTAGGGATGGAAAATGATGAAACTGATGTTGCGTACAATGATATTCGCTTTGGGCGTTCTAATATCAGTATTGATAATCATAACGTAAAAGATATTACCTCCGATTTTTTCTCGGTAAATGGAGAAATTTCTTATGGAATTCCCGAGAATACCCATGACATTATCGACCAGATATACAACTTACTCGTTGAAAAGAAAAGTGGAATTGATGATATACTAGAATCGCAACCAGTATATTTTATAGGTCCCAGCTTTCATGAGTTTAATAATTTCCCCTCTATTACCTGTTGGGTAACTGAGCCTTTGTGTCTACCAGTTTTAGAACAACTCGAAAAATTATTTGACGGGAAATTTAGGGTTGTTAGTCAAATGATGGAAACGACTGATGGAGGATCAAGTAACAATACAACTTCAGGAGGGTCAAGTGGAGACTCCGCAAATAATAAAGAAACACCAGAAAACAAAGATTTTGAGGGAAAGGATGACAAAGACGATGAAGAAAAAAATGGCGACTCCCACAGCGGTGGCGATGACAACCACGAGAAATACGAGTCCAATACTCGTAGTAGAAATAGCAGCACAATAAATATATCTTCCATTTCATTTGCTGATTACGTCACTAATCAGCAGGTTTTTACGATCAATGTTAAATTCTATGCGAAAATTATTCGTGATGAGGAAAGTGGTGGAAAGCTTTTAATAGTCCACACTGATGTAACCGAATGTAGGACAAGTGAATTACTTAGTCGGAATTGTGTCCAACTCTCCCAACTAGGCTATGGATATTCTCTTGAAACGGTTAAAATTGGCATCTCTCCAATTACCAATGCGATTGGAAACAGAGAAGAGCTATGTGTACGAAAAGATTATAATCCGAAAGAAAAATACATATCAGTTGATACTTCAACAGGCGTTGAGAATCTAGGTGGTCTAGAGGTTGGGACTGCAGTAAAGTTAGGATTCCAAGGGAAAAATTCTAATATTACCAAAGTTACATCGGATGAGATGCAATTGCGCACTTGGGGCGGTCACATTTCTGGCGATCATTGGGGCTATGAAAAAAAGTCTAATAATGCAATTCTTTCATTTGAGCCCGGACTTCACAGTTGCGAATGGTATTTAATGGAAAAAATGCATGGATTTTGTGTTAAAATTACTCAAGTTTTATGCTTCAAGTTTAATGACAAAGGATGGGCATACTTATTAAAACCTAAATTAGTGAAGTGTCCTATGATATCGCATACACTTGAAATTAAATTCAATGATCTCGAAGGTTTTAACGAGAAGTTTGCGAGACTTAAATATTTCCATAAAGGGGCCGAGGAACTAATATTCGATGTCGAAAAAAATAAAATGCCAAATCCGACTACCCAACTGATTCTGTCATTGATATTGAGCGCTATTTCGTTGATGAGAATCAAAGGAACTAACTTCTGTACGATATCCTATCCACCTAGGCGAAGCCTACGAAGCAGAGTAGATTTGTGTTAATAGTTTTTTGTTGCGGTTACTTAGAACAAACTACCCAGAGGGTACGAAGTAGAAAATTGGCAAACTTTTAAAAATTAGCAAATGAAATCAACGAAACAAATTTAGTGGACGAATACGTACTGTAATACGGGTATTAACTGAATACGAGCAATAAATGATTATTACTGGATTAAAAGCGCATCACCTATTTTTGCTTATGTGTTTCATACGCAGTTTTAGTGGAACAAGCTAACTAAGTAGTGCCTTACGTTATAACTATTTCCGGTTCCATTGCTTCAGTATCTAATTATGGACATTTTAAACGATGTACTAAGATTCTGCTAAGCATGGGTATCCATGGATCCTATTTTTGCAAATCATTACGAAGAAGTATTTTCATCGACTATAACATGCTTTATTATCGTACTAATAGTATAGTGATTACATTATTCCGATGGCTAGTTGCTTTCATTGCAATCAAAAAATAAAATACGTGGATGATATCTTAAAACAAAACTATTACGTGTATAACGATTTTGATTTCGATTAAACTAACATTGACATTTTTTACTTTGATAGAACGTTCACAAACAGTTACTAATGTTAACTTTACCTATACTTTGGAAATTCAGGTGGATAAGGAACGTATTGCTAAAAGTCATGTGACCGAATCGAATCATGGTTAAGTTTGCCTAAAAAAGCAAAACAGGATCCCATTACGTATCATCATATAAAAGAAAGGGGTCTAACTGCATTGTTGGTAAAATTACCCAACGAGTTCTGACATATGATGAATACCTTAACTGTGACCTGTGAGTCACGGTCTCGTAGTTAGGAAGTTTTTTCAAAATGGCTGCGGAAGAATTAGTAGTATCAGCTGCGGAACAATATGTCGGTTGTGACATTTGGGTCACGGTCTCGTTGTTTTCTCATTTATCTTGCTGCGGAAAAAAATATGAGTGGACAACAGAAATAGACTGCGGGAGCAGACTGCGGACAACATGTTACATTTTGTAACGGAATCATGTACCCTTTGGGCGGTCTCCGACTGATTTCCTAAACTAAAAAATTAGTGGACAATCAATTGCGGTTAAGAATATGAGTGGACATAGATACACCCTATCCCTTGGATATCGACTTCGTCATATGATAAAAATTATGGATAATGATCCCAATGAAAATCCATTCTGTGGCTTATTCCAATGGAGAGGAATTTTATTCTACGTTATTACCCCCGTTGTCCACTCATATTGTATAATGCAGTCGCCCACTTTATCCCCCTGTTGTCGACAATAAGCGAGTATGTGCAAGTAGAAAGAGTTCATAGGAATAGTTCGTGGTAGAAATACGGGATTTTGCTCTTCGAGGGTCTTCGACTGAAATACAAAAATCGTCTAACTGCGTATTATCTGATTTCCGCAGATGAAGATTCTGTGATTGGCCAGAATCACGCAAAGTCAACCCACATTACGACACATTCTATAATAACCTATTCAGTAAAATAAAGAACACGAGTATTTTTTGCAAATGTAAACTTCTTACTCTATTACGTCGTGTCAACAATTGAAATAAGTCTTTTATGTCAGTGGATATTGGTCATTGCGATGCCTCTCTAGCTTTTGCTCAAGGGACGTGGATACTGGTCGTATATTGATGAGTTGACGAATCCTTGGTAACAAGATGGTTAGAACGAAGGGATTCCGATAAAAAATGTGAATGGGATATGCATTGAAGCCTAGTAACAGAATGCTAATTAACGTGACTGAATAGTATATAAAAATGAAGAAAATCTACATTGCTATTAAAGTTGTTACAATTTCTGTAGAGTACCACATTTTATATAGCGCATCCAACAATATAAAGTCCTGATCAGCTTTGTTATGAACATATGAAGGCTGCGAGCTATTTCGATGAGTAACGTATCTCACCTAAATTTTTTTGGTATTCTTATTTCCATATGAGGTTTCATATTAAAATTCTCCAGACAGCTTTTCTCTATAATAAATAGCATGGTAACTAAAAATACAACACGGAATGTCTCATAAACAAAAACGAAATATAGAGTCTAACCATTCTTTCCAAACTTCTTACGATTTTGGAGTTGTACTGAAAAATGTTACTAAAGTATCAAAACAGGTCAAGAGATTTCTCGTTCACAAAGTGTAGAAAAATGAAACCTACTCAGAGGGTACGAAGTAGAATATAACATCACATGCTTGAGATATTAACCGAGAATGGAACTTATAGCTAACCGTTGTGAAGACTGAAGTTCTAGCTTCCAATTTGTCTGCCCTTGACTATAAACGTATGTTAACATTCATCCTGTTCTTTGTTTTTGTCTCCCGCATACGAAGTTAATAGCTTCTATATTGCGAATCTTGTTTCTTGGTTTTACCATTATGTACGTTGATCCATCACAGGTTCTTCGAATACATCTATAGTAGATTGGAAAAGCTTGAAACCTACAGAAGGGATTAAATCAATATATCTTATTCTACTTCTCATAAAAGCGAGTAACAGAATTTGCATAGCATGCCTTATTCTTCTACAAGTAACCCATTATTTGTACTCAGTACCTCCCGTTTGCCCTGACCGTCTTGCCGCTCAACCAGTAGAACCACCCAAAGGGTGCGCTTTTAACAGAGGAGGTTCTAGGAACCTAGGTTCCTGGGTGTAGAGACTAATGCACTATATAATACGAAAGATTAACGTCAACTGGCGATTCAAAAAATAAATTGAATGTTTGTATTTTGTACATGCAGTAAAGTATTATCGATAACCAAGATAACTCTTCTTTACTACCAAAGAGAGTCCTTTACTAACAGTGAAGGACGTTGAGCCCCGCCTCCTGGGGAAGTTCTCTTCTCTTGTAATACTTGTATGGAAACATATAGGTTAAATGCGGGTGAAACTCTACTTCGTACCCAAAGGGTAGGATCAAATTTTTAATCACAATAGCTTTCGTCATAATGATAAAGATATTAGTTATCCGACGACAATACTATTTGCAGATCACGGTATTATCATGTGACACTCTATGCATTTGTTAAGAGTATCACGTGCTAACTGCATCACGTGATTTTATTAAGTCGATTACGATAAAAATCGTGTATCAGACAATATCTTACATAATACGTTGACAGATGTAACCGAAAGTATTAGTAAGACATGGTCATTAATAGAAGATGCAACTAACTCATCACGTAAATTATGTCTCCTGCAAGCATTTATTGAATTACCAAATCCATTCGATTTCTCAGTCTTCTTTCAAAAGAACCGTGGTTCCAAAAAAGAAACACGACCATAGTCCTTGTATAACATTGTACAGAGTGAATGAAGATGTCAATAAACCTTGGGTAGGAAAATCAGTTGGAATAAGTAGGTTTGGAACACGGTTATAGAAAATTACTGCCTTGTCTAAAGAACAATCCAGAGTTCCAGTATTACGGTGTTTTATTAGTGAGGTAACTGTCGGCAATAGTCCTAGGGTAAATATGGAAATGAACTGTTGGGTAACGGTGATACCCTGTAATGAACATATGAGAGTGCCAACCCAAAATGCACAACAATTGTTAATTGATCTTTGAACGCTTTTGCTCACACCAGTAACCGCAAGAAACAATATATTTGTTATGGATAGAGCTATACATTGATGGTTCGTATATGTCGCCATCTGCAGACCCTCCTCTCTCCTGTATGAACTTTGACATACACTCAGATGTAATATGTGATTACCAAATTTTAGATAGAATATACTTTCTGATGCTGCGTATCCCCGAATGGTGAATGTGCTTCTTTTTTCGTACCACGTGTTTACGTACAAGTACGGTGGTGATCAAAATTATTTGGAATGACGAATGTGTGAAAATGGCCGTATTAGACAGTTTTTTATACGTTTTTTACGTATTTTGCCTCTTTCTTTTTCCAAAAAAATATGCTCACCACTGTATGTTATGGGTACCTAGTAAGCTTTCTCAGAAATACAAAGTTTGGACGGACACGTGGTCGATTATCCCATATACGAATATGTTTTTCGAAAACAGAGCGAGTTTACACTCAAATCATCAGGTTAAAGCTTTCGCAGATACGGGAGATTAATTCGATAACAAAACTATGGTGTTGGGCTGCTACCGAACAAACATATTTGAGAGTGTTATGATTTGAATAACTAAGTCGTGAATTTATTAACACTGCTGACTTTACTGGCATTTAATGCAGCAGGTCATGATCAGTCAGAATTTACAAGGTCGTCATGATTCTTGCGATGAGAAAAAGGGACAATTAGATGACCTAGTATCCAGGATAGATGTTCTCATAGAAGAACATAGTAAAATGACAACGGATATTAAAAAACTCGAAAAGGGGGTCCGACGGCTAAGAGCACAAATATTAGTCGAAATAAACTTTTGCAACTACAACGTCTGTGTATTAGTTAATAACTTTATTTCGACGTTTTCCTTAACAAAAACAAGACGCAGAGCTATTAGTACCAGAAATACTCAAAGGCTTCCCAGAAACCAGTATTATCCTGGCATCGATCTTTGCCGTAGAAACACGACAACATTCAACGATTTTATGTATTTTTGTATATTCTACCCAGAGGGTACGAGTAGATTCCTTAAGGGTTGACAACGTAAAATACAGTTAAACGAGAACTGTTTAGTGTTACATTATTAAGTATGAGGTCTCCTCGACTGAGAAGAGAAATTCCATGAAATCGCATTAGTGTTCGAAAGGCTTATAGAAACATATAAAAAGTCCGTTACCGTTCACATGTCCCATTGGTGTCACTCAATTCCTTTTACGGTTTTTTCTTTTTCCATGAAATGGCTTAGGGGTTGGGAAGCAATCAGTTAGCCCTATTATTCCACACATCAGTCTCCTCCCTGCATTACCGGATATGAGGGATTCTGGGTTGTTTTGTTTTAGTCTAAGATCATCTGGCAACTCGTGAATAAATATAGCACGGCCAATAACCGAATACTTTCCGGTCAATTTGCTCTTCGAGCAGTCTCTGACTGATTAAATGGTCGTAAATAGTAATATTAGCCTTCCTATTGTGGTCTACTCTGATGTTTCCCAAATCTCCTACATGGCGTTGTTTTGATAACGGACCACCATGTGTCTTTTTTTGTGGATTAAAATGAGTACCGGCCGAGATGCAACCGTTACTCATATCCCCGTATTCGTGAATATGTATGCCATGCAGCCCAGGAGAGAGACCTTCGATATTTACATTGATCTTTACCCGTTTATCAGGTAACATAGTAAAACAAACGAAGCCTTTGGAGCGTTTATTTTTGTTTAATGCTTCGTTCAGTCGAAGAACAGCGAGTGCTTTAATCGACATTGTCCTATCTAATGAGCATAATATCAGTGTAACTGGTGAAACTGCTGACATCAATACCTTTCTAGGTGCGATGATTCCACTGATCCATTTTCATGTTCATTCATCAATAACTGGATGAGCACATAAGAAATGGTGGGCACTCTTCGAAAATAATAGCATAGGTGTCCTTTATTTATTAAAAGACTACACAGATGGTACGAAGTAGAATCCTTCCCTTATGAAGTAGAACCTTAGGTAGGGATTTTGTGCGACTACTTTTCGTTTATCAGTTGCTGGTGTAGCCGTCTGCTAAAGAAGTTGTAGTGTATCATAAACATGGCGTTCTCTGTTACACTTCGCCCAGTTAATAATATTACGTGAGCATCTCCCTCCAGGAACTTTCTTTTTTAATGGCAGTCATTTCATATTGTGAACATTTTTCTCAATGACACTTTGAACAGACTATGACTTGTACCTGTTCCAGTCCTTACTTAATCGCTTGAGAATGCATAGGGCCGAGAAAAGTTGATCTCCGGATACATTTCCAGTTTAAGTAGAACACTGAAATACTTTCCGTATATTTCAATAACCGATAAATAGGGCGCTCAAAAGACAGATAGACTACGAAACGCAGCAACTGCTAAGAAAATACTTATGTTCACAGTGCGCTATTCGTGCTTAATGACTGTTCTTGTTTTATGCTATTGTTGAGCGATGGAGGAAAAAATACAGTTTCGTGGCAAACACAAAAACCCCCGAATTTTTTGGTAACTGTATCCCTCCCTTTTATTCATATGACTGTCTTCAATAGCATACGGAGTCCTTATGGCGGCAATTAAAAGGTCTTTTCAGATTTTAGTTTAGTTACAGTGGGACTAACCTAAGACCGCACATAGTCCCATTTTGTACCAGATTATATACGGGCTGTGCTGCATACAGTACGATATTCTGATGTCATGGTGGATCGTATTGGTGGGTGCCAGTTACCAGACTCTTGTCCCAAATAAAATCACAACAATTTCGAGTACAACAGAAGCATCCTGCTCGGCAACTAAGGTGCACAGGGTCACACCGTGCATAACAACTGAAGGACACGACTACCATTACGCTGCCATACGTAATATTCCGTCCAATAATACTTTGAATAAAAGTTCCTCGATGGCAAAGATTTCGTAACAAAGAAATAAGGCTAGTGTAAGTGTAGTCTATCGATGGGATCGTCAAACAAAGATTTTGCATATTGTTACCGTGTGTTTTTACAGTAGTGCTCATTATTGTCCCGTAACGAAGATTGTTACCAGAGATATTTTGTGACGTAATGCCCTTCAGACGTTTTATTTTCGAGTACTCTGGGGATTTAGTCTTACGTTGCTGTCATTTGCTCTTGTAACATGGGAGAGTGCGATTGTTGTACAATGCACTCTGACTCTTTTTTATAATACAGCCATGCATGTTCTTGAAAGCGTGTTCTGAACGCTTACGTAAATGCTTCGCTTCGTCTAAAAAGTAGACACCTCTTCGTTTCACCGTTTCGGTGAGTGCAAGCAAGAAAACCATGCAGTTTATAGCACCAAACATTTTATAGAGACGTTGATCAGCAGATAAGGCGCTTTTCTCGATTAGAGCGGCCAACACATAAATCTTTGCAGTCATTGGAGTTCGTGTGTTTTCTGGTAGTGTTTGATGAATAAAGTCTGTGGAAACAGGATGTGATTCCGTATTGCTCGCTATCGTATTCAAAGGGCGCGTGTTATTGGCATCAACAGCTGTGCTTTTCATCTGTGGTTCTTGATAATTATCATCGGTCATGGGAAGTAGTTGCTTCGAATTCTCTGTAGTTCCTCTGTTATGTCGTAAACAGTCCTTAGTCGGTTCGAGAGCATGGTTCGGGCCCATTTCTTTATTCCCACTGCTGACAAAGAAGGAGGGAAATTGTTTCACGAAGAGACTATTCCGATCGATTTCAACTATTGTCCCCAAGAATCTGCTGTATGCTGATATTTTCTTGTTTAGTGTTTCTCCCGGAAACGTAGATCCCATTGTTCGGACAAAGTGAACAGGGTGGCTGTAATCTTTTTTTATGAAAAGTCTAACCTCTGGAGGGACATTCAGAAGCACGTTACTAAGAAATCTTTGCGCTTCCTTATGGTCAGCAAAAGAGAAAAATGGTGCTTGGATATGAAAATAGTATACCCAAAAACCAGAACTATCCTGTCCGCATTCGTCCATGACTACTAAGTCCTCGAGGGTTTTAGGGGCCCTTTCATTGTCGCCATTACTAATACGAAACACTTCTAAGATCCTATGAAGAATTTGCTTAAGTATAGCAACAATCTCAGTACAAGGGAACCTATAAGGGGAAGAAAATTCGACGTGGATTTTGGGACACTGTGGTAAATCATCATACACTGCTTCAGAGAAACATTGTGAATGCTGGGGTAACTTATCAAAGTGTCTCCAGAAATGTTTACGTGAGTGAAACACTCTATAATACTGCTCGTTATGATCCCTCACTACTAGCATGGGACCAGACAAAGCATTTTTATCATATACTTCTTCAATGGACAGGGATGTCTCCATATTTTGGTTCAGCTGGCGTTCGTTTTTATTTTTCAAGTGCATATTGTAATTGTTCGACCTTGGCCATGCGAGTAAATATTTTTATTTTTCAAATAGGAGTACTAATCGTGAAAAGACAATTCGAACATATTCAAATGCTTCCCTCAGAAACACTCGTACTATTTCCTCGTATGGTGAAGGAAATGGATTTTGGATAGTAAATATGGTATTTCACTTTATTATTCGTGTTAGTGTGGGCAATAATGATAAAAGCTCGGGAATTTTCGTTGATAATGATACTTCCAATACAAAAATTGCTAAGTAGCTATAACAAGTAACATGAAAAAATATTGATTACATTGCGTTGTTACTTGTTAATCTCTCTCGTCTAAAAGTTGCTTGCCATCATTACTTACCTATACGTGACAATTCACGGGATTTAGATAGCCTAGATACGAAACTGTACAACAAAGTATAACCCTATGCGTTTTCAGGCAATGACGTTTAGAGGTGGAAAAAGTTACCAAGGATTGGTTCTGGCAAAATGTAAGTCTTGTGGCTTAGAAACGAAATTTTATGTCCACAACTTCTTTAGTCTGTCTCGTTAGCAGATAAAAAAAGCTACCCAAAGGGTACGAAGTAGAATACCGTCACATGAACTACTAATCAGCCAGTGTAACCCTTTATAATTAGGAACACATTGCGAAGCAATGCCATGACCGTCTTGGCGCTCAACCACGCTAGTTAAATAAGGAGGTTCTACTTCGTACCTTTCAGGTAGAACCTGGGTTCATAGGTCTATAAGAAAAGCTTTAGTCCGTTAAGGACCTTCAAAGAAGTGCCCTTTGGGCGGTCTACGACTGGGCTATGCCCACGAAGCACCCTACGGGTGGTTACACTGATTTTTCGAGGAACGAGGAGGCCTTCGGCCTGAGGCACCCTGCGGGTGGTTTTACTGGTTGAGCGGCAAGACGGTCAGTTCATAGGCTAAAAGCGTAAAGGAGGGTAGGACAAAGCTCTTGGCTAGGTGAAAACCCACACTCAGTCATACTTGAGAGAAATGGTGGCAGTATACCTTGTATTTGTGATATAAGTTGAATTACATAGACATAAGATGGATGTAGTCGATCTCAGTGAACGACGTGCATACACTGAATGCCGTGCATGAATAGGAGAAGTTGATATAAAATAACGAAAATCTCCACTCATGGGCGTGACAAAGGATGTGTAAAATTCACGTAAGAATATTTTTAATCGATAGTTGTATTTTTCCACCGCATCCGTTATCTAAGCCTTCCTTCTTTCAGGAAAGTAAAACAAAAAAGCGTCTCATAGACCAACACCTAATATGTGGTTATCATGGAATCCACATTATGGCACTTTTAGTGGGGAATAAATCGTGCGTCTACGGCACTCCCCACAACTCGTGATCGTAACCACGCCCATATTTTTCCTCCCATCTGAAGACATATTCATCGGGACAATTTTTAAGTGACCTTCGTCTTCATTGTAAGAAATATGCAAAACCTGTTCCACTTAATCCCGAACAGGGCTGCTTTACTAATCAGAGTGTTTCCATCATTGCGTAGAGTTTAGTAAAAAAAGATTTATCCAAGCGTCTGAACTCACTCACGAAACAGTTGAAGACAAAAATGATATGAGACACAAAACTCATTATTATTGTTCACTCGTTCCTCATAGTGTTAGTATGCGATAACACAAAATAAAAAAAAATAATACGGCCGAGTGGCTCGCTATGTGAACTCACAAATCTCCATTTTTAAGTACTTAGATTAACTTTTGCACATACTTATACAGTATGAACAAGAAATTAATGCAGGATACCATCGAGGATTCTTAGTAAACAAGCTGTCTTTCCATTGGATAAAACGTTACTACGAGACATACATACCGTACAGTGACGCCAAATAATTTTGTAATAAATGATAGTGTACCGTAGAAGAGAGTTTGTATGAAGAGTTTGTATGAAGCGCATAGAACCAACACAATGGCAACCTCATCAACATGTACTTGTTTCACTCATTGTGAACTTATTTCGTTCTAGTTCTTGTATGTTCTTGTCCACGTGATGGAAAAGATTTTGCAATCTAGGATCCGCAGTTTGTAGTGGAGCGAGTTTGCGATAGTAAGCAATAATTTGCTGGAACTGTCTAGTCATGTCAGGAGAAAGGTCTGAAGTCTTGGAGACATCGAAAATAAAATTCTCCATTATACTGGTTGGATTGTTGCTAACTATATAATCGTGGTAATATTTCTCAAAGTTCTCTTTGAACGTGTCCACGCTCGTGAGGATCTTATCGAAGGCCATCTCACACCGTGGCAAATGGCGCCTGACTTCTTCTATTGACGTTTTGATAACTTCGACAAATTCGTCTACGTTAACATCAGGTGATGACGCTAATTTGTACACATCATAACTGCAAACCAATAGCTTGTGCAGCACTAGAAGTAGCAGCCTTCTGTCATTCTCGTCTAGACGGGTACTAATATATATTTGTTTGAAGTTGAGACCAGGGAGATTGGGCAAAGGTGCATAAGACAATCCCGCATTCCCTGTTAGGAACTGGTCACATAACTTGTTTGCATCACTGAGGTATGACCTATGAGTGACTAGGTTTTTGCAGGTGACTATTATTGTGTTTACTAACTGGCTCTTTTTTGTCGACAGGTAGGTCTTCCGGAATTGTCCGCCAATAGGGGGGGGGACCTTACTAAAGTCTTCAACACCCAAAGTCATATTTAGTTGCAGAGGGAGTTCCGGTAAGTAGGGTCTAATGTCTGGAGCCGTAAATGTCAAGTGGGACAGTTCCCGTAGTTCCTGTACATAACCGCCTAGGCGCTCTTTCGTGCTGTCATCGAATTTACTAAGCACACTGCTTCGGTATAAGACGTTTAGGATTTCGATAAACTTTGTGGAAAGACTGCAGAGGGTTTCATATTTTGGATATACAACATGGAGACTAATCGACTCATCGTTCGTTCCCAATATCCCATGAAACATTTCGATGATATCTCGGTTATGCAAGGTGTCATGTACCACACGAGACTTGATTCTTACTTTTGTTTTCATGGCGGCAAAGATATATATTCTTTTTTTATTTTCTTTTCGGACTAAAAAACACTCAACGTGCTCCGAACGAGCGAGAGTTTCTCATTACGTAATAAGAAGATGCGAATAGCACATGACTGTCCGGCTGTCTGGTATCAACCGAACACTAACAACCAGTCAGGAGGGTAGGATAATATCATTTGTACTATATCGCAATCCGTACCGTGTTTGTTTTTCACCTAAGTTTCTTACTCTCATTCTTATGATTGTGTACTTCGTTGTTGCCAGAAAGGATATTCTGTGCTTTCTAAATGCCACCCTGTTAGAGTATTTATTTACAAAATCCTGCTGGGCAACCTAAGCAAAAAGAAAATTGAATACAACTAACTAAGGACATATCTATTTGTACCTGAGTCATTATAGCGAATATTCGGACAACAATGGCTAACTCAGTATCTGGTTCATGCGAAAAATGTTCCAAAAGATCTGAGAGGTTAGGACAACACTGGAGCACAGCAGGGTATCGTTGTCCCTTAGATTGTAATGATTTCCAGTGGGACCGATCAGATCATCATAGTCACAATTTATGTAATACTTGTGGTATGGAATTCGAAAGGGTTTTTAACAAAATACAGGATAGAGGAAGGCAAAGGCAGTTCGATAAACAATTATTACGGATGAAAAAAGATCACGCCTTGCATAAAATATCCGTAATTATGGGCGAAAAATACAGTGGAAAGCTTAATATCTATTTGTGGCACAATGCTAAAAGAGGTAATAGTACTCGGGCGGTCGAGGCACGAAAAAAATATTTTGATTGGAAACCAGTAAATGATCCACATAAATACAAATTTCATTGTGAAAATGAGCTGTGTTTTCGTCCACTCAAAGCTATCCAGGTAGAACAGGTCTTAAATAGAATATATTGTCGTTCTTGTTCAAGGACTGTTTCTCTTAGTTTATATCAGTCGTATAACTGATCATTCAACACATTACATTTGATGATGTGTTCCATTAAGTGTCTTAGAATCGTAAAAAGGCAAAATATAGTGCCCTGATTACTTCAACTGACAAAACTAGACAGGCTTTAATCGCCCATCCGTGAGTAGACTACTTTTTATAGTACCAATTATTTCCCATAATAGTTAGCAACTGCGCATTATCAAGGAAAGATTTTTATTTGGTAATGGTTCTTGTTCCCATGGGAAACCGATACTACCGCTATTGTTGTTCTTTTTTTATGGGAGTGTTCCTAATTTCCTGACATTCCTCTTAAAATAGTTTCCGCTACAAATGCCTAAAGGGAGTTAAATGTATAAAGGCAGAGAACGAAGCGCCCGGGTAGATCTGAATAAATTCCTTGGAAGGTGCTAGACACGAGAAGGAATCCCTAAGGACCTGCTCTATATATCCGGAGTTACTCATTTACCATGCTAACTGCTCTTATGCTCATTGCTTGGAATTCTGTGATCAATGGGTTAAATGTGAGGATTAGTAAAGTCGTGCCAGTAAGTTATTTATTGTTTGTCATTGGCGACTCATACTCTATTCATGCGTTTTTTTTCCGGCTTCAAAACACGACAACTATGCCCTTCGGACGTAATTACTAAGTATATGTGCACACCTATTTACCAAATGAGGGAGTCAGTCGGAACCTCGGATAAGAGAGGCCTTGGGAACATAAGTATCTCATTTTACTTTAGCCAATCCACATGAAAAAGTATGTGTTAGTCTCATTTTCGCGAGCAAATAGTTTCTATATTTATTTCTTTGCATTGTTACGTTAGTATATTGTGCGATGTATGAACAAATAGCATGCTCCGTATATTACATACAATATGAGCATTAATTTTTGGAAAAGAAAGAGGCAAAATACGCATCCTTCTGGTGTTCCTACTAAGCTATACAATGAGCGTCTTACCGCTCAACCACGCAGATCAAAGGTCATAGGAAATGCGTTCCTAATACGTTAAAAATTTTCTAATATGACCATTTCCCCACACTGTTTCACAATGTCCTCCGAGCATTTAGGCTTCTCTTTACTTAGTAACTCAGCTAAAGTTCCTTTGGAATAGCTAGTGAAACCTCGAAGGGAAAATAATTTTGCTCTTCGAGCAGTGTGCTTCGCCTAGTCAAGGACTCTCCGACTGATCGCTACCGTATTTTGTTAGTACAGTGGTGATCAAAATTATTTGGGCAGAGCCCAGTTTCACTGGAATGACGAATGGGGGAAATGGCCATATATTAGACAGTTTTTTATGCCTATGAACCCAGGTTCCTACCTGAAAGGTACTACGTAGAACCTCCTTATTTAACTAGCGTGGTTGAGCGGCAAGAACACTTGGCTGGGCGAAGCCCACGCTCAGGCTATTTCTTCGAAAGGCCACGCCAAGCCCTCTTTCTTTTCTAGTGGAACTCGAAGGAAAAATTATGCTCACCACTGTATGTAATACTACGTCATAGAGAGCAAAGCATAAAATATGCTCCCTAATTTGTGGTCACGGTAACGAAATAAACATAAATATTGCTGTTATCATTATAAAGAGAAGAGAAATTGTTTTTCGAAATCTCATGGAATTTCACATAGAACTACATTATGATTAGTAGGACACGTGACATCATGGCTACCTAGGTCATGAACTATTCGCAAAAAATATTTCTAGCCGATACTACTTTGATTTAATAACTAAGGGTGCCACATGGACCGCAATTGCGCCACTGTTGTTGCTGCTTTGATTGGCATGTTATGCTAGCATATTCACATTGTGCTTATTTACCAGTTACAAAATATTTGTTTGGCTGCTGAATATTGGAGGTTCATAGAAATTTCATCTCCGTCTTAGTTTGACATTGCGATTTATATTTTTTGTTTCATCGCACTGTTCCTAAGAAACGCATTATACGGCATGAGCAGCAGAGGACCTGAACAGGCCAGTGGTAGCATTTTTTTGTCACACCCCCCTTATCACCTGTTACGCAGGAGACTCCTTTCCCCTATTATCGCTTATTTTCTTCACAACCCTAGTATGTGCTTCTGGCCCGTCTACTTTTATACCTCACAGATGGTTAGTAGGAGGGTAGTCCAGTGGTAGCAATTTTCCTACATAGGAGACTACTCTACCCCTGTTCTTCTGTTCTCTACAGCAGCCTACCTACCACCCATCTACTTCTATACCTCACAGATGGTTAGTAGGATGTTCAGGCCTACTCATACACGTCTACATACATGACCACACAAATGTGACTTCTTTCCGAATTACAGGTCAATGGCCGATTTGAAAATGTAAGCTAGTTATAGAGATAACTCATTTACCCAAAGGGTGCGAAGTAAAAACGTCAATCAGTATGCCTTGTCATTGGTTGGTTAAAGAAACAAAAGAATACTGTACTCGACCCACAAAAAATGAGTACTGTGGGATGCATGCTTTTGCTATTAAACGAAGAGGGACTACTCCACCTTCCCCTGTTTATTTTGCGGGAATGGTACCAATTCAGTTACTCAATTATGCATTCCATGCGGTCAGCAAAGAGAATTATTAAGACTTTGGCGTGAACGAAATTTAAATTTTTGAAATAAATTTTTTGCAATTGAATATAGAAGGTAGCAAAAAATACAATGCAATTAACAATTGTATGAATTTATTGATGAAGAATGCTCTCAGGAGGTAAATCAACACCATCATTAACGAGTAGGAGTTCTTCCCTAATAAACCTACGTTCAGGTCCATTAAGCAGTTTACCTGAAGGGCGCTAACAGCGTAAAGAACTGGTTTATTTTTTTGTATAAGAGCTTCTTCAATAATGTAAACTTCAGGACTCCAATTCATATCCGTACCTCTATGTTTAGATCCACCTTCAAGCTCACCAAGTTCGAGAAGATAACGAACACTATCTCTGTAAGACAAACGTGGCTCATCATAGCCAATAGGCCTATTATATTTACAGGAAGATTTGGAATAAACTTTTTTCTTTTTTATTGCCTTAGCAGGAGCCATACCAATTAACCTAGTAACAGAATTATTAATATCTTCAACAATTATAGGGAGATTCCTCACCCAAGCACAAGATTTTTCGGACATAGATAATGATAAGTCATGTGCGTTCTGTAAACGAAATAATCTCTTAGCTAAGGTAAGATTATACCTTTCAACAATACCAACAGAACGCTTAGACGTAGCCTTCTGAATTTCCACACCATGTTGTCTCATTAATCTCTCACAATCACCTTTAAATTCGGACCCCTTATCTGTGATTAATAATTTCGGCCATACAAGAGGAGAATCAGGATTATCATAAATCTGTTCAAAAGCCTTAGAAATAGTACGTGAGGTTAAGATACCCTCTCTATTCTTAACACTAGTTGAGCCTATTGGAATAGAGGCTTTATATCTCGAAGCTACATCCACTATGTTAAGACAAAAAAGATAAGTAACACGTCCAACCTTATCATAAGGCATGTTTAAAATATCTGCCCGATGGCATTCATTAGGTATGGTGATATTGCTAAAGGATGCATATGGAATGTACATAGGACGATGTGCATGCCTCAGGTTCTTGTCTGCCATCATGATTAGGTTTACTATATGTTTTACCCAATATACCGCATGATTGATTTGGATTTCAGTTAGAAAAAATATTGTGTACATATATTGTATTTTATATGATTGTATCCAACGAGGTTTGTACGGAAAATTTCACTAGTTCCGCAAGGATAATTCCTTGTACGACTGACCAAAAATCGTTTACTGACAGAGCCCATGTTCTTAAACCGTTTCGATGTCCGTATTGCGATAAAAATGTTTTTACATCTCCCTTTCGAACAGAATTTATGGAGTTGTCATACAGCCATAAATCCCACTGTGCTTGTCTAGAAAAAAGTAATACTAGTTGTCTCGAATGTCACACTTCCCCAGAATGCCTCCATATGCAGGATTTTTGCGAAACAGTAGTTTCTTCCGACAATAGAGTTACTTCAAATTTTGTTAGGTCGAACAAAATACTGTTTGATAATTCTTTTTGTCAGGATTCACGAGAAAGTAAATCAACTGAAAGTATAGGGAACACGGGTACTTCGCAACAAAAGTACAGAGTAATGAAAAAGACCCGGTCCCCTGCTTATTCCGTTAATGAGGAAATTGATGTCTCCAGTAGAAAGGATCTGGCAATCGATAACAAGAAAAACGATCAGAAAATTTTTTCAAGTGAAGAACAGAAGTTCGTACAGGAAATAGATTTGGAAACACGAAAAAATGACTGGCCAACGGTCGATAGTACAACTTCTTCCTTAGAACACTTGGTCGATTTATATCGCAAAGCTACTGAAGCAGAAATTACCGCAAACGAAGCGATTCAAAAGAAAACTCTCTGTTGGTATCGCTATGCGAATGGATTCATCGATAATGCTAAGGAGCTTACACCGGAGGGGGGTGAATTATTCAAAGACATGGTTAATCAACTTTCTGAGGCTAACCATGAAACTGTGCACAAAAAAACGCAGAAAGCCATAAAATTATATGATTTGTCCAAAAGTAAAGGTTTGGAGGAAAACGGGAACATTATAGCATACGATACAAATTCCGATGCAAATTGCACAGATGACAGTGCCCAAAGGAATGCTGCCAATTTTTTCGTGGAACTTATTGGTGAATTGTCTGATAAACGAGATACTTTGGTCATAGACCCTACTGCAGAGGATACGCCATTGCCGCAAGAGCTATCTCCAAGTGAATTTCATGGATCCACTGCAATCTTAAGCAATAAGGAGAGCATAAGTGTGGGCAGATGCCGACACTGTGAAAATTTCTGTGATTGCCCAGGCCTTGCCCACGAAGTGAAGGGCATTCCGAAGGAATGTAGTACGAATTCTCCAGAATACTTGAACTGTGGACCCTTGGATTATGCGCCCTTGTCACAGTTCGACGGTACAAAAATAGGAGGAGTAGAAAAGAGTACAACAAACGCATACAACAAAATTGCCGTACTTGGCTCAAATAGTCACCGGGTAATGAACTCAAAACGTGAAGAGGACATGGCGAAAGGAAATATTAGCTGCGATAAAAACGAAGATGCTAATCGAGAAGATATAGTTTTAGGGGGGCTAAAGAGGCCGATTACGTACGCCAACCTGATCTGTGCCGAGTGCAGAACACTAGGTTCGATTTGTCTTAATTGCCTAGTGAACGAATATGAGACAGATTTTAGTGTAGATCAACCTCTATCCGCAAAAGATAACGAGCAAAGGCATCATGATCGATTATGCTTCGACATGGATGATAGTGACTCCGAAATTGATTTATTTCGTACGGGAACTGGGTATTATGGACAGTCCCTTTTTGACTATTACACAAAGCCTTTCTACTAGAACATCCATACCCAAATCTATCTTTATGGCGAATAACTCATTACATTACACTAGGGCAATTGGTTACTGTGTCGACCGAAATGGATTAAGTTACACGGTTTTTCGATTCTGTCATATTCTATCTGTCGACAATCAAACTCGACAAAATGCAAACGTCCATCCTTTTCCTACACAGATTCTGACAATAATTAAGGGACGACACCCGAGTCTCTGTCCTCAGTTCACGAACTATTCACTATTCACGTGTTACTGCGTTTCAGTGGACCCAGCGGTGGATTTTCTTATTTTCGTGGTTAGCCTATAAAGCCGCATTAAGCAATTCCTAATGCGGACAGAAAAATCATGGTTTTGTGTATGGGCTTAAAAAATAAATAAAGAAGCGCACACTGTAGACGCTTTTAGTGAAACTGGACGAAGCTCACTGAGTAGCAAGACGTCTTTCTCCAGACTCGTGTTTTTCTACCTTGGCCCACTGTTTTCCGCTTGATTTTTGTGTACGTCATTTCACTGGGAGTGTCTTTTAGCCAGTTTTGAGTAAATCCACCAAGGGTAGTCTTATCGTTAGCATCGTGGAAGGATTCTATGTTTTCGTATTATGGTTTTTCATTGTTCAGTTCAGTGGAGTATAATGCAGGCCCACGGCTGAGCGGTATTGGATACACGTATTGTCTTCAGACATTTGAATTTTATTTTTGTTTGTTATACTTTACTCCATAGTAACGCAAATTGGAAATGGCGGAAATCGCATTTGAAAAACTTAGGGAACTTGGAGAACATATAACGGCTTGTAATTTTTGTGCGGCCTGTAATAGGCCAAATTCCGGCATCGAGTGGTGTAGACTTTGCAGTCCGCACAAAAATCTTTCAACTGGTAATTCTGAGATAGACGAAATTCTCTATTCTCGTCAAATACATGCGAAAAATTGTGATGAGATTATAGAATATGTGCCACATAGCGATTTCAAAGATATTCGCCAAATAGGGCAAGGAGGATTTGCATTCATTTATACTGCAACTTGGGAGAAGAAAACTCCACAAGAAGTTTCTATTCCAGTCGTACTCAAAAAAAGTAAAAATCCTATTCACGAGTTTATTGGTGAAATAAGAGTCCATTGCGACTGCAGTCTTGCAAATAATTACATTACGCAATTGTATGGAATAACGAAGGATCCGATTACTGAGGAATTTATGATGGTTCTGGAGTATGCGTCGAAGGGGAATCTACGCCAGTTTCTTAAAAATGCTAATTCTTCTGAGCTTTCCTGGAAAAATAAAACAAAAATATTGTATGACGTTATTTATGACCTGCATATTATTCACAAAAAAGGCTATGTCCATAAGGATTTGCACAGTGGAAACATTTTGTGTTTCGATTACTATACAAAAATTTCGGATATGGGACTTTCTCAATCCGTATACGACTCTAAACCCACTGTTTATGGAGTAATGCCCTATATTGCGCCTGAAGTCCTAGAAAATGAAAAGTATACTTATGCGAGCGATATTTATAGTTTTGGGATCATAATGGCAGAAGTTTCCCTGGGAAAACCGCCTTATGCAGAGTACCCGCATGATGAAAGTCTTGCATTGGCGATTTGTAATGGATTAAGACCGGGATTATCTGCTGGGACCCCTGAACCCTATTGTGAACTATTCAGGAGGTGCACAGACACGGTTCCTGAAAAAAGGCCTTCCTCAGAGGAAATAGTCACAACGATAAGGGCTTGGCTATTATTTGACGAATTTGAGGGGGCGGAGATGTTAAGGACCCCCCTGACACAACGATTCATTCGGAGGCCTTTTATACGAGTCGTCATCTGCCAGTTCAAAATCTTTCTAAATTAAGTAACTCTGGAAGTAATAATTTTAGTCAAGATTCTTTTCCGGATTCAAAACTAGAACAGCTTTCCATTCCGAAAAGTTATAGCAAGTGATTCAACTGATCTATTAGAACTGCACATTCATATGTGGTAGAAAATTAAAACCGAGATTGCCATATGCTCAATTATCTAGTACAACTTTACTTCCGACATGAGTTATTTTAGGGATTGGATAGCCTCTAGACTGCAGTTTACCGAATTTCTTACAACCATTTCACTTCGTGAGCACGGCTCAGAGAATGTCTAACTACGAGACTGTGACTTACGGGTCACGATCCTTACTTCACTATACTTTACCATGTACGTGACCATAATTACGTAGTCCAAATAACGTAAGTTTGTCATGCACCTGTTTACGTAGGCGATGCTCAACTACGAGATTGTAACTTATTAGTCTGTTGGACCTTAGAAGCACTGGTAACTATATTGTGTGCCGTAAATTCTATTTGTCGCACTTATTGTGGTAACGATAGATTAATTATTTTGTCACGATTATTAAGTTACCAAAAATACTCTTGTACTTTTTTGGTAATGATGGATACTTTAGTACAGTATACTTTCTTTATTAACGATGTTATGTTACATGGTATGTTATTCGTCGCATGTATTTTTCTTAGCAATGTTAAATTATGAGATGTTCTTGTTACACTCTGGTATTGTTGTGATTATAGTAACAATGTAGTACATTTTTAGTAATCATTCATGCTACCATGGATAGAATTAAGATGTTACAAGTTTTTGGCCTGGAGGGCATTTTTTCATAAATATAACGATGTTATACTTTTCCAATAACTATGTGATGTATCCACTTGTCAATGGTAACGATATTTACAATTTTAAGAGTTTGTGACACGATGTTTGTTACGGTAGTGTAAGTATTGGCAACTACTGCATTGTTGATACCTATGTCGGATACCTATGTCTGAAATCATTTGATAACGATATTGCACTATTTTTATGTTAACTTAGGTTCTACGAGAAACCTATTAATTATAAACTACGAAAGAGAAAAATCCGTGTAGTACAGGACATAACATTCTACTGTTCGCTGGAATTACACATTGTAACAGAACTGAATTTTTAATGAAAAGGTAGTCGTCAAATTCAAGGGTCTGTTGTGCTTAAATTACAGAAGGACTGAACTGTAAAAATTTGAACGACTCGAAGTCGTCAAAGTCACGTGATTTCCCCTTATTTTCTTCGCTTCGCTCAGTCGGAGTGCCCTTGGCTGGGTGAAGCCCACTGCTCGAAGAGCAAAAATTATACAGATTTTTTCGTTAACATTAATTATGTGCTACAATGACCTACGTTATTGTCTTGTAAAACTGGAAACATTATTCTCCCTGAGGGTCTCTCCAGTTCTATGAGCCCCAAAGGGAACTTCCTAATCAAAGGTCTTAGGAAATACCTGGAGGGGTTAGAAACTGTTCCTAATCTTGCCGCTCAACCACGCTCTGTGTTCATTTTTTACTATTCATTTACATTATCAATTACGTAAAAGACTAATAAAAGAAATGAGTACAAAAATAATCATCATGATTTTTCGAGGAACGAGGGACGAAGAGGCATTGGCGTAGCCTTTCGAAGAAATGGCCCATTCCAGTCCTGGGCTTTGCCTAGCCAAGGGCTCTCTGACTGAAATTAGTCCATAGGACCTTCAAAGAAGTGAAGGATGGAATCTACGTAGTAGGCAGAGCCTAGTGACTGAACTGTAAAATTTTCAACGACCAGAAGTCGTCATAGTTACGTGATTTCTGGGTGGAAATTGCGAACCGACCGAACTGTATCTTTTCAAGATTCGCAAAGACTTAACTACAAGAATAACTTATACTAGCCATATGTGACTTGCTACCATCGTTACCAAAGACATAAACCTCGTAGGAACACCATCATCGAAACAGTGTAGCACCGTTACTAACGATATGACGAATGTTAGTTATATTTTGTAACTAAAAATGTTACCACAATTGCTGTATACCGTATTGAATTATCCAGTTAACAAATCAGCATGTAATTCCATAAACCTAAATTCATTATATTTTGATACACTGCTCTCCGCATTTTGGTGACAAAATTAGTAGTGGCATCCCTCGAAGGTGATGACTCGGTAAGACAGGAATTCCTGTGAGACAGTGTATAAAAAAACAGTTTATATTTGTTTTCGTCATCATTCGTTCCGCTTTTGTTACTTACAGGCTGTTTACCATTTTTGTCGTAAATAACTATAATGAAGGCTGTGTCAGTATGGAGCAGGTCCGAAAAAGGTATTGCTGATATAAAAGCCGTCAAAGTTCACCTTCTGAAAATTTGGTAGAAAGACCGGGAAGAAAAACTAATAATTATGCGAAACAACAGAAAACCATGTGTCAAGATGATCTCGTATTGTGTTTGCTCATAGTGGTCGGCATATTATCATGGTGCGCTTCTGGTAACTTGATTACAAAGAGCTTCGGTCAACTCCATAAATAAGAAGGTATACACTTTGTAACATACTTCTCCGTAATATATTATCTTAATTCGTATACTCATACATAAACATAAGGATGATCAAATCATTTGTCCTACAGTAGCTCAATGTATGATCCATTAATATGGGTGAAGTCTTCGAGTAGTATTTGAGAAACCCTCTCTACGCATTAATTAAGTTATTACGTAATTCTGTTCCGTAGTTCACCTTATTAGCGTTTGTGGAAATAGACTTTTTTATTACGTTGCATTACACCAGAGTAACGTTAGTAAAACTTTAATATCTCCGCAATTATTGTAACATGCTAAACACTATACTGTGATCACATAATTTCGACGACTTCGGGTCGCCCAAGTTCGTACAATTTGTGGTTCAATAAATTCGGATCACATGATTTCTTGCTTTGGAGTGTTCCTTATTAGTTGTCGCCGGTTCAGCTAGACTTGTTTTTCATTTAACCGTAAAAAAGGAAGGTTCATATTTCGTTATATATTTGCAATCTTATGAAGGAGATAATTAGTCAAAGTGAATCACAGACACAAGGCAGGGTATGAACAGTAATTTGCAGTGCGGGTTACTGACTACATCTAACCTGTTGGAAAGTACCCAACATTTGTTATAAGAACAATATGATCCTATTTAATTTCTATATCCTTGGTAAGACTCTTAGATACTAGCTATTTCTGCTTTTCTATGTTTATACCGCTGTCCTCATATACAAATCGATTCCTACTCCTCTTTATTGTTGACAAGAGCTATTATTATGCTGGGCGTAATCCAGTCTCCAACTGATCTTATCTACATTGCTGAGCAAGTATGTTATTGTCTGTTGTTGACATCCACTACACAGTTTTCTCGTTTGCCTTTAACGAGAATTTCAATGCGTTACTTAAGTTATACTATGATACCAATGCCCTTGACCTCGTTATGTGAATTCGAGAACATATAAAAAATGCTTACCATAAACCCATTAAATGGGGAAGAAAATAATGTGCGCCAATTAGAGTTATCGAGTGGGCAGCAAAACGTGTACTTTAAATCAACGACAGCAAGAGATGTGTATCAAACACAACTTCTCTAATGCTAATTTCATAGAAGACACTGTGGTTACCTTCGTACGATATTACACGATGTCAATGACTGCTATAGAGTACTATAACGCACGGGGTTTATTTTGACAAAAAGTGTACTCTACGAAAATAATAAGGAAAATGGACGTTTAGGATCGAATTGGACAATCTATGATGACACCTTGTTCATATTAAAGGGAAGCAGAATTTTCATCCCTTACGGTCTAATATACATCGCTATCCTTTATTCTGATTCGATTGTTAACTACGAATAAATAAACCTTTGTGGGTTCTACTTGCGATTTCGTATGCATACCTATCTCTGTGTGGATGCCAATATAATCTTAGACATAACCCGAGCTTCGCCCATAAATTTAATAAGCATTTTTTGTTCCAAGCCATTTCTTCCAGATGGATTTAACTGCTTAGTTTGAATGGACCTTCAACGAAGTGGAGATTGTAAACAAAAATGTTTCATGAAAACAATTACGTAACTTCTTTGATCTCGTCTATTCCATTTTTTGTTGTTATTGCATCTGTGGAACTAGTGATCAAAAATAGTGCAGAATGCGCTGTCATTATAACATTTATTAGTCTTTGTAGTGAAATACAGTATTTGTACAAAACGGAAACAGAATTTCGTTCAATCAAATACAATTCTGAGACACATCCCGAGGGGTCTTCCGAACATTTTGAATTTATGTTTTCTTGTAACTCATGTGCCTTTAGTTTCTACTCATGACATCGATACCCAAGGGGTCCTATGTCATGTGCTCTTGAGAGACTTTACAGGCGTAAATGCATAATTTACAAGTAGGCATTCTCGCCTCATACATGAATAGCGAAGGTATTTTACTTATTTTTTGGTGTTGACAGCATATGCGCCCATTCGCCTAGTAATAAAAATGATGGTTAGTTATCAATGGAACATAATTATCGGCCCGTGCCATTCATTTTTCACGTGATACTCTACTCTTTGTGTAGAGAGTAACATGACTACACGTGCGTGGAGGCGCAGTAAATGTCTTATAAATAAAGGCGCAGTACTGTCTTGTAAACAAAAGCGTAGTACCTAATATCATAATTCGCATAAATTGTTAATGTTATCCACTGTTATTTGGCTACTGTTATTTGATGTTAATGTGTCATTACTATAATTTTTTTTTGTTAATAAGATTGTACGTTATACGATGTTAGTTTTTCGTAATAACAAAAAATATAACGAAAGTAAACAAAGAAAATTCCTTAGCATGAGTTCAAGCTGCGCAGCATGTCTCTGAAATAGTTCCTCCCGTATATTTTGATGGTTCTTGTCATAGATGTTTTGTCCTTCATAATTTTCCTCGTTCCTCGAAAAATCACTTCTTCGAAGGTCCTAATGGACTAAAGATTTTTTTTGAATACATTTCCTAATAATCTTATACAGTAAAGACCACAGTAATAAGTCTTACTGCTCAACCACGCAATAGTCTTAGGAAATACCTAGAGGGTATACTTCGTAATGTGTTTCTAGAGGA